TTTTGGWWSMCSSWRCKCGKCRSRKAYGTGACGAACCACTTCACGAACCCGAGCTATCTTTCGTACCCTTTCTTTTGCTTATATCCTACCAACCCCAGGAAAAACCCTGTTTTGATTTCTTGCTTTCGGGTGCTGCATTTTCCTTTTTTTTTAGAGCTTTTTCGACTACTGAGTTCTGTTTTTCCTTTTGCAAAGTCAGGAAATACATGGGAAATTGCGCGCCTTAGCGAGCGCGCTGGAAATTGGGCTCGGTAGTTGGGAACTCCGGGATAAGCGGAACTTCGACGTGTCCTTTTTGGGTGTGTAAATGTTCTTGGGCGCATCGAGGAAAACTTTCGGAATTTCGTCCGGACACGAATAGGCGTAGGATTTTCTCTTCCCGCGTTGCTTTTTCACGCGCGGATATGGTGATTTCAATTTTGAATTAGGAGCCAGCTGTAACTGTTTCGGTGCCTTTTTCTTTTTTTGTTGACGACACCGTGCATGCAAAGGCTTCCTCCTCTCTGTCCCCCGCATCGTCCCCTCCCGCACTCCCTTTCCTTCTCCCTCCTCTTTCTCTCTCCCCGTAACTGTTTTTCTTTCTCCCTCTCTCTCTCTCCCGCCTTGCTTTTGCGCGCTCATTTCCCTTTCTTGATCATCTGAATCTTGGACCCGTCTTGCACCACCTCTCGCGCCTTTTCTCTTCTCACCCTCTAAGTCTGGCGTACGACGCCCGGTCGATCCCCCGATAACTCCCGTTCGCCAATCAGGTGCGTGGATCGATAGGACCTTCCTATCGCGCGACGAATCTGATTGGTTGAACCTTGAGTTCCGAGGGATCAGCATGGTGTTCGTAGAGCACTCTTCTCAAAGTCTTCTCCTCCTGCTTCTCCTCTTACACCCCAGCTTTCCTTCTCCCCCTTCTATCTCCCCTGTCGCAACTCTAAAACCCGCAAGTGCGTCCGCAAAGCTCTCTTACGTTCTCGACTCCTAAGCCATCTTTCGGGAAGCAGTGGCTAGGTAGAGTGTGTTGATGCGAGTCGGAAAGTCCTGTCAGGCTGACGATAGGCTGGCCGGTTGCACGCTTGATCGCCACGACGGGCTGTGGGATCCGGGCGA